CCACAAGCATACTTAACATCGTCGTCTAGGGGAGGTTGTTTTGCATGATCCAAAGGAACTGAAAAGGATGTGCAGTCTTTTAACATTTCTTTTGAATTCATTTTTGTTACTTTAGGGCACTTTTTTAGCATAGAAAAAATAACTCACTGGCTGCCATTAACATGTTTGTTAGTATGCAAACTTAACTGGTAATTCTGTGTAGCTAAATTTTAGCTACAAAAACTTGAAGATCTAATCACAGTGATGCCAGGGAGTTGTTTAATCAAATTGTAGTTTCTCTACCTCGTTTATTTTATGTGAGTCTAAAGGTTGAATACGTATAGTGTGGATTTTTGTACAACAGTATTTTTTTTTTCCCGAACCTCCTGGCTAGAGATGCACGCGCAGAGCATTGCTCTAAGGCCCCAGTAGTGCCCGCTACTGTTATGGGCCTTTAGATGGGTTGCTGCATCCAGCTTAGAGGTCACTTGGTTCAGTGTTACGGTTGTTAATGTTGTTCCATTGGTAACTGGATGTCATGACGTCGAGTCATATATAGAAACAACTTCTCTCCATACCATATGGGGCTTCAAACATTTGATCCTCCTTAAACTAAGCAATGATAAGAGTCTCGTGTAATGCTATTTTTTCTTTTGTTCTTTTCTAATTGAGGTTGTCTGCAGGGAGAATGTATCTGAAATAGGGGACCTCAGGGCTATCTCGAACAAGAAGTCTTGCCTAAATTGGTATGCACCTTCTCTTTTACATGCTTATGGATATTCTTCATCATGCAGCTTGAACAGTACAAACAAAATGCCTTTTAAAACAAAGATAACAACATAGGGGCTACCATTTATTTGGACCTTATAGAATTGCCATTACAAAACTTTTCCTGGTCAATTAAAGCATTGAGTTTATTCTGGAATTTGAAAAGTTCAACACTTTTATTTCAGAATCTGATGATTCTGTTGATCAACAGATCTAAGAATCAATCAACCCTTGTTAACTGGCAATTTGTCTTTGTTTTATTATAAGGTTGTATTTATGTACTGCCACCTAAGTGAGTGAAAGTGGCCAGCAAGAATTCAATGCTGTCTTAATCATGCTAAACATGATCACAATGCCATTTTTACAGTTAACTAATCTCCTTTGTATAGGCCTACACACATAAAGGGTTTCACTCAGAATATCCCTTCTTGCCAACTCACATGGGTTTGTTTTATGGTCAAACAAAAGGTTAGCCGTTAGTCATTACAACTCGAGTTCATCCTATCATGTACATAAAATTCGTATTTAGCCCATCCATATAATTAAGGGGTCATTGTATCCGTTTGAAATTTTCACACCGTAACGATGAGTCCAACAAATATGTTGTTGTGTCAAAAATATTCATTTCTGATCCTATCATAGACTCTAGATATGTGTAGTCTCCAAAATCAAGAGATGGTCATCCTTTAACCATAATTAGTAACCATAATAGAAATTTTTTAATTTTATCTATGATAAAGAAGCATAATCAGTCATAGTAATAGGTCTAGCCATCCCTCCACTAAATGGAAAGGTGGGGCCTCCATTCCATTTTGGTTGAAAGAATTTTCTTTACCACCACAACTTGCTAGTGCATACTGCTACATCAGTGATTAAACTAGTTCTTCTTTCGATGCCAATCCTTGCCACTGAGTAGTTAAAAAAAGCAAGTAAACAATGTACAGCCTTGAATATTATATCTTATCATGTTGGATCACTTATATAACTTATCACATCTCTTGACATTTTTTTTTTCAACTATGTGGGGAATGTTGGTGCACAATGATGCTGATGTATACTACCAACTATAGGTGCAATATATCATCTTGTGCCATGTGGAATACTATCAGGGCTATGGAGGCATGATTGATTAGACAATTGATCAAACAAGAGGCGAAGTGCAAATCAGTGTGCCATGAAAGCGAGTCTCATTTGGGTTTAATCGATGCATGTGATTTTCGAAAAATTATACACCCTCGAAACTTATATTGCAGATATATGTTCAAAGAACTTGTGATTAAGACGATTCTCCGTCACCAAAAAATTATTCTACACACATATGTGACATTGATCATCACTTTATTCTTTCTATATTGCAAATTCCACCCTTAAATGTGGAATGGAGGAGATGAATTTTGAAGTGGGGTGGCCATAAAATGGTGGAATCCACCTCACTCTGATTTCTCTTTTTGAATACAATTTTTTATTCCCCTCCACCAAAGCAAAGAGAGCCCCTAAAGCAAGGAGCCACCAACCAATTGATTTAATTTGTTTGCTAATTACAAATGCTGGATACAGTTCTAACATGACCACCACAAATCTAATGTTTTTAGCAGTAGATGAGGGGGCCACACGATGCCATATTCCACCATATAATATCTTCTTATCATATTACTTGATAGTGCCATTGTCTAAACAATTCTCAATATAGAAGCTGCCAAATTGTATGGACTGGTGGTCCTACATGTACTGCATGGGTTTCATCAGATAAGAGACCCATTATCAAGTTCGTAATAACAGGACCAATGACTAGTGTCATCTCTTGTCTAACTCGTATTTTTTCAAAATTTGCTTCGTTGTTACCTAACGCCTAAATAGTCGTGTATAACCAAATTTAAATCATATTGAACTCGTATTATATATAGCATGTTTTTAATGCACTCTTGTTATTATTCAACGAGTCTAATGGGTGCATCCGTTTATTACTCGAATTTGGCAAATCTAAACTCAAACCAAAATATACTAATTCCACGTCGAGTTTGCAATCGTTTCTAGAAATTGCTAAGCCTACAGATGGCCCCTTTTTTTGGGGAGGGGGTTGGCTCTTTTTCCCTAGAATATATGAAACACAGATACAAATATAAAATATGGATATAATACGATACGATACGACCATACAACAAAACCTAAAAAATTAAAATATGGATACGACTAAGATACATCTATGAAATATATTTTTTAAAAAAATTTATTACTATATTTAATGTAATAATTATAATTTATAAGTGAATCACGCATCTATCAAAATATATAATAATAACTAACCATTCTTTTATTCATAAATCATACATTCATAAAATTTTCTTCCTTTTTTTTTTGCAAATAAGAGCCCAAACATATTTGCTCTGGTACTTCTATTCTTTTTAAAAAATTCAAGTAATACTCCATTGTATCCCGACATATCCCCGCGTATTTTGATGTATTCGAAATTCAATTTTTTTTTAATCTTAGGATACTTTCCAACAGTATCGGACGTGTATCTATATCCGAAAAGTATCTGATACCGATACTTTGACCCTTATAACTATCTATGATTCATAGCCATGGATCCTCAAATCTATTCAATGCATAATTCATCAAAAAGAATCACACAAAACAAAACAGATGGTTTCAGTTTTCATCATGCATCAAAAAGGTTTTAACTAATAACTAATTTACCACTCTTTCTACAAATAGCTTTCTTTAATCTCGATACTACCAATATGTAGGTTATAATTTTTAGAAGTATACATGGTGGTCGTTGCATTCTATATCAAAATAAATGAAGAGTTCTGACCCTTATGGAGCTGAACAAAAATACCATTGAAAAAAAGTTTGTAGGAACAATATTTTCCATCCATGTAACCAAACATAATTTTCCCTTTTCCTTTTTCCTTTTTTTTTTAAAAAAAATAAGATGTTATTACCCGGAAAAAGACTATACAAACTTATAGAATAGACTCAAGTTAAATTCCTTAACATGACAAACTCCATATACCGACGCTTCACCATTATCCTTGCAAAAAAAAAAAAAAGAAGAAGAAGAAAAGTTTCACCATTATATTCCATCTATGTTGATAAAATATGTGTCAATTTTCGAGAGTTGTGTTCTTTAGTGTAATATGGTGAAAAAAAAAAAAGAATTAGAAGTAGCAAAATCTTTCCATTTGGAATGATGCACAAAAAAAAAGTAATTAAAGCACAAGAATTTAGTGCTAGACAGGTGCCTATACTTCTCTCTTAACTCAAATTGTCAGCCCTAGAATCTAGTATATATCTAGCACATCATCCTGGCCATCTTAGATTGAAAATTAATTTATGCTGTTTTTTTCCGACAAAAATGTGTCTGGAATTCCATTTCATAGGTTCTTTCTATTAATATTAACATATACAAAAAAAGCCAAAACTAATACCCAAAATATATTCACTTTCTATTCCATGGTTCAAAAGCTTTTGTCCATCTACCCTTTTTATTTTCCTTTGTCCGTAGCTTGTGCATATATTTCATATTATATGGCCTTTAAAGGAAATCAAAAGACCCCACCATGACCAATACGTCAAATTGGATGGAAGGAGATGAAGTTCTAGCAGCTTCTCAACACCTTCTTTACCCATTAATTAAGAAAAAAAAACCATTGTTAATTTCTTTTCCTGTTGTACCCTCCTTTAAGTTTCTGCTTTTTGCCCAACATGAATAAAATTATACAAGTACTTTCCCACCTTTACTTGGGCACTATAATCTCAAGCTATCTTGGTTATGTGATCTGATTTCAACTATCAAATGAAAAGCCATCATCCAAATCCTCTCAAATGGAGCGTAAAATCGAGAAATTAGAAATTTGGTAAGCAAAACATGCTATTATTTCATGGAAAATATTTTGAGCGTTAACGATTTAAATTGTAAAATCATCGAAAACATGTACTCAAGTGACTCTTATCGTCGGTAAAGTGGATCAAACTGTTCTTGTAGGGGGAAGATATGAAAGTTACATCCACATATCAAACCACTTATCTTGAATTAATGGCTTACATCATATGCATAAGGTTGCTATCACGAAACGAGCACGGGCACCACGTGGACGGTGGTGATTCCATTTATGAATTAAAATACCCAAGTCAGCTGTTATGTTATTTGGACTCTTAATTTGGTGAGTGTAACATTATTCCAAATATTATGCATATAAATATCTGTACTAGTGTGCACATAGTCTCCATGCTGTGGTCACTTGGAAAAAAGGAACAATTAAGAAAAGAGACAAAGAGGAGAGGTTGTTTTGGTCAAGAAAAAAATGGTGCAAGAGGAGATCAGAAGGGGTCCATGGACTGAAAATGAAGATGTTCAGCTGGTTTTGTACGTGAACTTGTTTGGCGATCGTCGTTGGGATTTCATAGCAAAAGTATCAGGTTTGAAGGTGGAGGGAGACATAAAATAGGTAGGATTATCTCGGCATGGTTCGATTTCTCAAAGGAGCATCCCTTTAATCACATAATTTTGTTGTAGGTTTGAAAAGAACAGGTAAGAGTTGCAGGTTACGTTGGGTTAATTACCTTCATCCCGGCCTCAAACGAGGCAAGATGACCCCTCAGGAAGAGAGGCTTGTGCTTGAACTTCACTCCAAATGGGGAAACAGGTTTGAGATCACTATTTCATCCTCTATTATGTTTGTTGAATTGTACTCAAGTGTCTTGATCATCCAGTAAGAAGGATTTTTTCACTTTTTTCAAACTAACGATTTGAAATCTTGTTAATTTTAACTGACTATAGAGTTAATCATTCGTACCTTTTAATTCAAAGATGTGGATATCGGACACATGAATAGGGATAATTTATAAGAATTGTTTGAATTACTCGAACAATCTCTTGCAGATGGTCAAGAATTGCTCGAAAATTGCCTGGGCGAACAGATAACGAGATAAAGAACTATTGGAGGACCCATATGAGGAAAAAGGCTCAAGAGAGGAAAAGGACCATGTCCTCATCTTCATCTCTTTCCAATTCTTATTCCTCATCATCAAACAGTCGTCCAGTTAATTCGATGCCAGTTGTGGAGACTAAGGAAAGGAGCTTTTACGACACAGGAGGCCTCGACAACAACTTGATGTTAGCAGATCCAAGAGGGAAAAAGACTAATCAAGAAGAGGACCAGAAGGGTAACTTCATGGATGAAATATGGAAAGATCTTCCTTTTTCTGAAGATGACCCAATAAAACCAGTTTGTGATGGTGGCTATAGTGAAGAAGGATGCAACTTCTCTTCTCAAACACTTATATCTCCGCTATGGGACTATCGCCCAGATTCACTGTGGATGATGGATGAAGAAGAGATCAAGATGTTTCTTCCCACCAACGATCAATTTTTTCCACTTTACGGGCATGATCAGATTCAGAGCTCGTATTTAACTGGCTAATTCGAGTTTCATTCATTCTATATTTGTTTTAAGGATGTGATATGGTCTTAAGGAAGCTCTAACTTTGTATAGCATGGGCATGAGCTTCCTAGTTCTATCCAAACTTCCTGTAATAATGTAATCATCTCATGCGTAAGTAACGTTGTCCGTGTCTATCTGTTCTGTGTTTTTAGTTGTTAAAGAAAGAGAGAAATTGTTATAGTACATGGATGTAATGTAACGTAATGTAATATAGAAGTGCTTAGGTTGTAATCATGTATCAATCGAGGAGGTGGTTTAATATAAACTAGAATTTATGTTCCTGAATTTTCTCATGAAATTGTTTTTAAGGAATCAAAGACAAGAAATCTTGAAAGTTGAAGGACATAAAAGTTTCAGACTTTACCATACCTTATGTGTGTGAACATTAACACACTGCAATGAACATCAAACACCTTAATTAACCACCTGTGGTCCACTTCAAACTAATTACTACATCAGCACCCAATGAGCCCCATGCTTGGCTATGTTTATACAAGATTCTTTAGTTTAGTATGAAAGGGTATCTGTCATAGGTCAACCATGAAAGAATTGAGTCATTATGAATCTGAATTGATAATGTTATCTCTGTTTGATTCTTGTTTTATTTTTTTGTCGTAATAAATCATTGCTATAGGCAAAAATTCCTTAACCTTATCTGAAATGATTTAGATTTTTGAAGGAGACTTCCTTCTGCAATTCTTTCCTTCTCGTATCTGATATGCAAAGCAGAAAAAGGAAGCATCCAAATTAGTCATGCTTTCTTAAAACTATTAATTTGTTACTCAAAAAGTCAAAAGTAGAGAAAAAGGGTGGCGGATGGACTGGAGGGAGTGTATCTGTAAAGGGCATGCTTGAAAGCAAATTAAAGTAAAGACTTACCGTGGTACTGGGCGACAGTACACGGTACAAGAAGAGCTTCTAGCGTTTAGATTTGTGTGGTATCATATCGTACACATTCATTAAAATATGTATTTATTGATAAAAATATGTATTTATTAATCTTATCAAAATAGAATCATGTCATGTTAACGGATCAGACCCACATTTCTAATTTTCTCAGTAGCTGTCCTCCTAAAGTATAGGCCAAATTATACTCACAGGCTCCTCAAGTATAATGTCGATCACACTTTATATGTTGAAAGGACTATTGAACTTTTCACATTACCTCTCGATTACTAGAATTATTTGAATTAGTTTTATATTATCTCAAAAAATGGGCGTCAATCATTTGGAAATTATGAAACAAATAACCATAAATAAAATTACAATGTGCACAATTTAGGAGGTTGAGGTGAAACGAAGCCATAGTCAAGGGAGTCAATGTATAATTTGTTTTTAAATTGTTTTCTCATATTTTAATCTGAGTGGTAGCCACCTAAAGTCCATTACTCCTATTATTAACTAATTTACTTTCCCAACCAGCAAAAAAAAACTAATTTACTTTCCCGACAATCAAGAATGCCTCTCCATAAAAGCCAAATTGCTTAAGGCTATTTGGTGGATACCAGGCAAAGGAACCGTTGGTAGTTTTATTTTTTAAATAAATAAATTATTAGTTGATTAGTGAGAACCCAATCAAAGATTCTGATTCATTTATATCTATATAATAAAATATATCGTCTTCCTTGCACAAAGCACAATAACAATTCAAATTGTTTAAATTAGATGTGTGTTTGTTAACCTAAATTCAACATTTAAAATGAATATATTCTCTACTTATTAACTAAGTCCGTTTGATAATTAAAATTTAAATCCTCTTAATATGTTAAGTGTTCCTTAAAAATAAGTTACAATATTAAGTAGGAGATCTCTTACTTAGTTCTGAAAACTGAAAACGCTCAACAAAATTATTTTTAATAATATTTATAATATGACAATTATACATCGAAATATTTTATAATTCTATTAAAACTTTAATTAGTCTTCTCTTCAAAATCCCTAACATATCTATTCTCTTTGTCGATCTCTTCTTCAGCGAGTAACAGGTAAGTCTTATTCTTTGTCTTATTCTTCTGTTTTTTTTTCTTTCCCTTGTCTTCTACAATAAAAATTTACGTATATAATAACACACACAGAGGCATGCACTGCACACACACTGCGCGCGAGCGCACACACGCCTTGCACACCCACCCACCCATCCACGAGAATTGTATACTGCACACATACTTTCATAGTGCGCACACATATTATTAATGAAATCTAATTTATTATATTTTTTAATTATTTATTAGTTATTGTTCTTCTTTTTTTATCAAATGTTATTGTTCACTTATTACTATTAAATTATTTATTAGTTATTGTTCTTTTTTTTTATGAGATGCTATTGTTTATTTATTGTGTTTTTCAAATGTTATTTATTTATTATTTTTTTGATCAAATGTTTGTTAAATGTAAACTACAATATGATAATAGTGATTATGATTTAGGTTATGACATATATTATAAATATTTTCAAATTAAAAAGTGAAAGGATAAAAGTGAAAATTAATTTATTTTCAGACATCAACTCTATATAGTTATCAAAAAATTTAGTTCAATTAAATACTTAAATTTTAGTGGATACTAAATAATTTACAAATTCAACATTCAACTTTTAGTTTTCAAATTTTATATTTCGGTTTTATCAAACATTATCTTAGGTGGTGTTTGATAAAACTGAAAACTGAAGTCTGAAAGCTAAAAGTTGAATGTTGAATTTGTGGACTGTTTGATATTCACTGAAATTTAAGTACTAAATTGAATCAAACTATTTGATAACTACACAAAGCTGATATCCAAAAATAAATTATTTTTCAATTTTATCTTTCCGCTCTTTAATTTGAAAATATTTATAATATATGTCATAACATAAATCATAATTATTATTATTATATTGTAGTCTACATTTACCAAATTTTTTATCAAAATAAATAAATAAATAACATCTAAATAACACAATAAGTAACAATAACAAATTGAATAACATAATAAGTGAACAATAACATCTGATAAAAAAATAATAACTAAATAAATAATCAAATAATATTGAAAAAATACAATAAATTAGATTTCTTTAACAATATGTGTGTGCATGTAAGTATGTGTGTGTGCAATGCATATGTCTATGTATAATTGTGTGTGTGCAGTGCGCGCGTTTGTACGTGTAATTATAATTATGTATGTATATTTTTGTTACAGAAAACAAGACAAAAAAAAAAAAAAAAGATCAACAAAGAGAATATATAAGTTAAGGGTTTTGAAGAGAAGACTAATTAGAATTTTAATAAAATTGTAAAATATTTCGGGGTATAATTGTCATATTATAAATATTATTAAAGATGATTTTGCTGAGCGTTTTCAACTTTCAGAATTAAATAAGGGATCTCCTACTTAATATTGCAGCCTATATTTAAGAAGCACTTAACATATTAAGAGAGTTTAAATTTTAGATATCCAATAGGCTTAATTAATAAGTGTTGAATACATTCATTTTAAATGTCGAATTTAAGTTAACAAATATATCCTTATATTACCACTGTTATCAGAATCGGACCGGACCAGTCGGTCGGACCGGTTCAACAGTGAACCGGGACCCTAACCCATCCGGTTCCTTAGTTGAACCGTTTAAGGAAACGAACCGGCTAAAAACCGAAAAATCAGCCGATTTTTAACAAAAATCGATTTTTAAAAATTAAATTACATAAATAAATTTTTTTGCCTTAAATCAGTGAATAATTGATTTTTTTTAACCTTATTCTTGGAAAAATTATAAATGACACCCCTTCTTTTTCTTTATAATTTACTTGAACCTCTTTACTTTGCTTTAAAATACAATAACTCCCACTTTGTTACTTAATTTCATTAATTTTATGGCAAATTTTATGTATTTTATACATATTTTATATTTTTTAGCTAAATTATTAAGTTTTATAATTATTAGATCTATATTTTTTATTTTTTTATTATATGACCGGTCCGACCAATTGATCCAACAATTGAACCATTGACCCGGTCCCCTTGCCGATTCGATGACCGGTCCGATTCTGATAACATTGTATATTACAACTTAACAGTAAAAGTGTGTTACATAGAAATGCCCCTAGTACCTAAAATTGAAGATGGGTAATAAATAACCCTTAGGCGTGGTTCAATGGTTAAGTCTGATCTTTAAGAATTCAAAGATCTCAAGTTTAATTCTTTCTTGTACCCTCTAAGGTCTAGTCACTTTTGTTCCTCTACGGTCAGGCTCTATCCCAACTCAAATTATGATGGCTAATCCCTAAATTAAATAGAGTAGTCAACACAAGTCTAAATACCTTATAAAAAAAATTGTACTAGCATTATCCAAATTTAAAGTGTTAAGGGTTGATGGAATAATACGAGAAACTAATGCCCTGTTTGGTTTGTGTTTCAAAAACTAGTATTTGAGTTTTTTAGAAGAGTTTTAAGAAAGTGGTTTTGATATTTTTTGAGATAAAAAACTTGTTTGGTTAGATAATTTCAAAAACAATTTTACAATACAAAAAATTGTAAAACCTGTTTGGACAGTTTAAATATATATTTGAACAATAATTCAAACATTAATAAAAAATATAAAAAATTTATTTTTATATTGACAATTTCATAATATATATATATACTTATATATATGTATATAATATATATACATAATAATATAATATATTATAATATATATTTATATATTTGTATATATATATATATATATATATATATTATATTATAATATATTAATATATAATATAATAGATTATAATATTAATATATAACATATAATATAATAGATTATTATAATATAATATATATAATATATAATATAAAAATTTTTATATATCATATTATATTATATTTATTATATTATAATATATGTGTATATTATATAATATATTATATATTATGAGAGAGGAGAAGAAGTAAAAAAAAAAAGAAAAAAGAATGAAGAAATTTGTTGTTAAGCAGACTCGAAAGGCAGAGCTCATTAAACTCCAAAATTGTTCTCCTTATTTTCAAATTTTTCAAAAAATACTCTGAAAACAAACTAAACTTGTTTTCTGTTTTTTTTTAACTTAAATCTCATTTTTTCTCAAAATTTTGAGAACAAAAAAGTTAAACAAACAGATTTTAGGTGTTTTTAAAATTTTGAGAACAAAAAATAATTTCTGAAAAACTAGCCAAACATAGCCTAAATATTTAAGGAAGCAAAGTGAGATTGAGGTTATACTTTCCATAGTACGTTCTTCCCCACCTTTCCTGTACAGAACAAATCAAGATATATTGGATCGGATAATTGAACCGAATACCCAAGTCTTAACAAATTCGGCAACCAGGAATGACAGTGAATGGCGACCAACTCTTTCTATCAAACTATCCGAGTCAACGAATCTTGATCCGGAACCATCTTACAATCAGAACCCGACCCATACACAAACATGCCTATACTTGACATAAGTCGACTCATAACAAGCTTATCAACAGTTAACTGACGCCACCACACACACACTCAAATGCCTCAGCAGTTGAACCTCTATCTTTTCGTTTACAATTCCCTTCAGGCCTTCGGATGGTAAGCTCTCTCTCTCTTTCTCTCTCTCCAAAACAGTGCCTTATGTGTTTGCCCATATATATGCAGGGCAATTTCTCTCTCTAAACTTTTGATCAACTTTGTCTCCACCAAATCAGTCAATGGCGCCTACGCTTCTGCTGGAGAATTAATCTGTAAGTTATTTTACAAAAAAGAAAAACTAATTTCCAATGTGTATAGTTCCACAAAAAACTAATTGGTATTTTTGATTGGTGTTAAGGTTTGTTGCAAACTGTTGCATTCTTGGAAGTTATACATGGAGCCATAGGTGGTTACTTCACAGGGTTTTGTCTTGTGAGCCCTAAGATTGCAAAAGATTTTGTAAATTTGGGTAATTTCGTTTTCATGTTTTCCCTTTGCATTTTCAGGTATTGTTCCAAGTGGGGTGTTGCTTCCTCTGATGCAATGGGGTGGAAGGACCCATTTTCTGTTGGCAATTGTTCGTCGCATCCATGAGGTTCTCAATTCTTCCACTCATTCATACGGAATTGAAAATTAGATGATTCATTTTTATTTTTTTACCATTGCCCAATAGAGAGAATGAAGGAAAGAGTATGCGTTATGTGTGGTGGTCTGTGGGATAGCTTGATCATGTACAAATTGAAATATAGAGACTATAAATTTGAATTTAAGCCTTCTTATTTGTAGCAGTGGAATTCTAAATTTCCAATTGTGTTGAAACTAAACATTATTTTACTGTGTCTCTGTATAGGTCCAGGAGTTACCATCAGTGTTCATAACTTTTGTTGCTTGGAGCTTATCAGAGGTTGGTCAGCCCTCTTTCTTTATTTTTTCATTTATTTAAGCAGATAAAAAGCATTGTTATACTTTATTCAAATTAGGAAGTTATTTTTCCGGTACAAAGTGTGAACCTAAGGGCTAGTAGTTTCAACTTTATTACTTGTTGTTGACGTGCTTATATATAACTTTTCCTTGAGTGGATGCTATAGGCAGCCATTGAAATTAAAAGAGATTTCCATGAATATTCAGATGTAATGTCAACAAGTATTAGCTGTTTGGTGAAGCATTAGGTCATATTTCTGTAATGCAAGCTCATGATTAGATGACTCGATTGTAATTGTTGGATTGAAGTTAATGCTTACTGATATATCACTACTATTAGTTTTTATGCAAGAGTAAGCCACTCTGAAGCCTATGGTTCTAGAAAGACTTGTATGTACAATTTAATGATGTTCAGAAATGGTTTCTTTAAGGTTGCATTGAAATTCTCCCCACTTTCCTTATTTAGGGGCTGAAAACTCCTGTTTTAATTTTTCAGACAAGCCGATGTAAGTCCTTCTGATTTTTACTGATTTAAGTCCTTATTTACCCATGTTGATCTATGATTCCCAATGTTCAATGCTTCATTATTTTAAATCTCTTTTCAATAGGGGAAGGTGTAGAACAATAGAACTTTTCCTTTCCGATATTATAGGATGTTGTATGACTGTATTTTTTCCCGATTAGTCAAGCGTATAGGGGTACTTGCTTTATTATTGCCTTCTCCTGTCATCTTTTTGGCAGACTGAGATATGGATTTTGTTCTATCCAATCCCCACTTGTTCTGGAGTGGTTTCTATGTTTCCATTCTATTCATTTTTGTTTCAAGAGTCAAGACCAATGTCTCCCACATATTACTTCAGGAATTATCTGCAATGAATGAATTATGATCTGATCCCTGCATACAGGTTATCAGGTATCCACATTATGCTTTGAGTTGCATGGGCAGTTCTCCGTCCTTGCTCAACTACTTCAGGTTCCATTCCTTGCAGAGACAACCTCATACATCACTTGCACACCTGCATTCACATGCAATTGCCGCACACACAGTGACCAAAATTATAATATCTAAATATTTGATTTTGCCCAATATTTTTTGTTTGAATAGGTACACTGCTTTTATTGTGTTGTTTCCAATTGGAGTTGGTCCTGGTGAAAGTAAGCCATGTTGCCGCTATAAACTAGCATTATAGGATCAGCTATTTTCCTGTCCTTCCATTTTTGTACTTGTAAACTCTTTTATAGGTCTGTTTAATTTGAAGTTTTGTTAATTGCTCCTTTTGATGTAGTATGGCTTATGTACCAAGCACTTCCATTTATAAGGAAGAAAAGCCTGTATGCAGATGCCTTTGTTGGTCTTCCTTTCAGCTATTATAACTTTGTCCAGGTACACTCATAATCTCTTCTGCATGTTTTGGAAAATTTGTTATTGTTATGATTAGTGGAGTTCACAAAAGTTATAAGCCTGTGTATGAATCCTGGTACGTTAATTCCAACCTTTGACATCATGTAAGAGCATCTCCAACAACAAATTGTATTTTAGCTACCCAAAAAGCAACTTTTTTTATTTTAACTACTCACTTTTTCAATACACACTCCAACATATTCTCTATATTTTTAACTACTCCTTTTAAATATTATTTCCCATTTTTTATATTTTATTTTTTTTGGGAATAATGAAAGAGAGAAAGAGAGAGAACGGAAGAAAGGAGAGGAAGAGAGAGTAAATAATATAAAATATGTTTACAAGTTGCTACAGTGATACTCTATATTTAGAGTATTACTGTAGCAAAAATCTATTTTAGAGTATCTGAAGAGCATCTGTTGGGGTATGATTTTTTGCTTTGGTTAGCTAAATTTTAGCTATTTTTGTGCTTTACAGCATCTCTTGGAGATGCTCTAAGAATGGCACTTAATGTGTCAAGTGGAAATCCATGATGCTTTTTGTCAGGACAAGTTTGAGTTGATTTGACCAAGTTTGTATTTGCAATTGTAAAATTGAGTCAGATTGCACATGTTTATGTGTGCACATAAGCTGTTCCAATTCCATGGGTTACTCAGGCAACCTGCGTGCTGGCCCGTGTTGGGACAGTTCAGACTAAACTTGGTTTCTATGAGCAGCTGGGGTTGAATTCCCATAGATCTTTTGGGATTTGGGATAAGATCACCTTGTCTTGAACCTGCTCCATCGCTATTCTTTCATGTAGGATGCACTGAGGCAACTCTGGGATTTGAATCGATTTCACAAATCTGCAAAGCTCATAAACACACTGGGACACCCATTTTTCCGTTTATGATTTTTTTGGATGGAGACTAGCAAATCAGTTCAGAGTGGCTCAAATTGATTAATCTTCAACTCTATCATAAATCTTCCAATTTTTATGGCCATCTAAATAGTTTTTGTCAAAATATACAGATGCATTTACTTGTCTAGATTGGTGATATTCAACCTTATGCTATGCCTCCATTCAAAAGACTGTTGCACTCTTCATAGCATAATGATCATTTGTATTGTACAACTAGTTACATTGGGTTTCTTCTATTACCAATGATGCTCATTTTTCTGTAACAATGTATTTACATGTCAATATAATGTTATAATGTATTTTATGTTCAATTTTTCTGAGTCAGGTTTTGCTTCTCTGCTATCCATTGCTATGGCTGAAAATTTACCTGCATTTGTGGAAGCAACGATCATCGAAACTGGGTAAAAACCAAGGGAAGAAGAAGAAAATTTGACCAGTTTGACATTATTTCAATTACCAATCTCAAAAATCTGGCTGCATATGCAGACCAGTTGCTTCCTGCATTAGATTGCGCAGACATGTTATGACATTATTTATGAATTAGGCCATAAACTTACTGTCTTGGGCATTATTTCTATAAAATGTCTTGCTGTTACTGCACTGTGTGAACTGTATTAATAGTTTGCTGCAATACAGCTTTGAGTGCCCTTAATGTGGTTCTCTCTTCCTTTTTTTCCTTTTTTTTTTTTTTGTAAATTGTGGGCTTCTTTTCTGCATCACATAGGCCTCGGAGACCAAATGGGTGAATGTTGTTTTTAATTGCCTTTTACAGAAATAGATTACTATATACTGAATTCATATTACGGCATTATATGGACCCTGTGACGTTTATTTCTTTGAGGAAGGCATATTAGGTAATGCTGATAATTGAGTCGAGTTATTTGGGCTCGGCTCATATTCTAAACGAGTAGAGGTTGAACAATTTTTTAGAGTGATTCAAAATGAACATAAAAAACTCAGCTCAAGCTCATAAAGTTTGATTCGTTTATATGTAAAATAGTTGAGTCATTTGGATTTGGTTCATTTTATAAATTAGCAGAGTTTGAATAATTTTTTAGATTTTTTTAGAAAAACGAGTTTGATAGACTCGGCTCGATTATGAGTTTTAATATTAGCTACGCTTCCCTTGCTTATAACTGCAGATTTAAAAATATTTGTGATGGACTAGGCCTCTGGGTCAAATATTAGCCCAACAAAAAAAATTGGACCGGCTGCTACGGCCACCTTCGCGTTGTGTCCATGTCCTCTCACTCTCCAGCCTTTCTCCAACACGAAAGAGAAAAGTTTCTCTCTCTCTCTCTCTCACTCTCAGAGACAGCCCACTTCTCTTCTTACTGATGACAGAATACAGTTTCCAAACAATAAGGCCAACAGAATAAACACAAATAAAATGGTTTTTTTTTTTTTTTATTTCCTTTCAAATTATCATGATTTTTCAATCAAATTACTTCCCTATCATGATTGCTCACTTATTTTTTAATTTGTTGTTGATAGCATAGTTTTTTTTTTTTTGTTTCTTGTTGAAAGCATAGTTTAAAGACACGTTTTTTTAATATAATATGTGTTTGTAATATAACTTTCAACATTTTCTATTGAAAGTTAAATAATCTTTTCATTCTGAAAAATGTGGATACAAATCACACCCTCGTAGAAATAACGATAGTTTGAGAAATAAGTGAGTAAAATACAGATTTTAGAGAATACAAATTAAAACCTCCTGAGTAATGGAAATTAATTACGTGTTCCTTTATCTCTCCTCATGTGGTCAACATATTTATAGTAGACAGAGGTAAACAATCTGCCGGAAGGTTGACGAGTCACTATTTCGAGATTCTTGAGTTTAAGTTTCGTAAGTAATTCCTGAATTACATGATGTACGGAGAGGCGGAGCTACACATGTGTTTGTCACTCCATCTTTTTGTACAAACACCTTTTTTGTACATATTTTAAGATTTCTCTATTATTATCTAGGCGTCAATATTTCAAATTATAGAAACATTCTCTCACATGGGACATAAAGTTGCAAAATTTCCGACTCCGGCCCGGACGGAATACACGTGATTTACGAATTATTTTGAGTTGGCATTATTCCAAACAAAGTTGAGTTTTCTCATATAGTACACCAGTTTGGTAGTCTCATCTCTAAAGTAGTTCATGTGTGGCAGTTGTTGGGTGGTTTGTAGTTTAGACAGGGAAGACTGTTTTCACACAAAAGTGTCATTCTTTGACCACACCAATGCTTTTCTTTCATTTACTTTTGCCGCCATCCACCTGCTTATACACCAACCCCCCTATCTTGCACAATAAATATTTGATAAGAACCTCTTGTAAATAAAAAGTGCCTTTCAAATAGGAGTGGATCCCATTAAAGCCTGGTCTAATTGAAGAGTAGCTTTTTATTGTTTGTGGGAAATTTTACGGTACCCAAAAAAAATTGGTATTGTATTGTCGGTTATAATTTTTTATGGATAAAATTACAACAGAACTTACAACTATTTAAAAGACGATCATAATTGATCATGAAAAATCTCAATATCGATTTTAACCTTCTATTATCGATCATGTCCTTTAAAATTATAACTTAATTTTAAAAAATTATAATTTTTGATATATTAACACATCCAATTTTCATTTTGTATGCGTAATATCTATCAGGTCTTAAGCTCGTTACCTTTACAATAACAGTTATTCTAATATAAAATCAAAGCAAACGTAAAGAGTGTTGCTATCTTTGTGAATTTGAGATCTTACGATTACTCAAGTGGAAATGGGGAAAAAAAAAAGATGTAAACCAATGAGCTGATGCCCTCCTAAACATGTCAAGTGCCCCGAGAGAACCGCACGGAAGAATCATCCCACCAAACGGCTTTAAATCAAAGTCAAACATGGCCTAGATTTCTTGTTTCATGGCATGAAGCCCAAGGCATAGAACTAAACAGGAACATGACTACATACAAAAGAAGCCTCGACCACGTGATTGTGTAGTCCAACTAAGATGATTGTGTTTTCTAAACTTTGAATAAAAATATCATAATTTTTTTTTCTTGATCACAAAAATATCGTACTTGAGAGACTATTTTTAGCATATGTTAAAGAGATTACGTATCACTTAAAGTTTGTTTATGCAAAAGGTTGGGTATTAATGTATTAGATTATGACCACATTGTGAGTCATTGATGAATTAATGTTTTGTCTTGTCGATGTGATCCAAATAAAATCCTAAATTTCAGTTCGATTTGTACCCGAATTAATTCTAGACCTTTCAACCCGAGTAAAAAGTAGACTCAAAGTGTTTAATGCGTATTGAACTTGGGTTACAAAACCCAAAACCCAAAATCCAATCGAATTCTACTTGGATTCAATTTTAGGTTTAAATAAGGTTTGATTCTCAAACTATACAATTCAAGTTTCAATTTAGAAGCTCAAGCAAGATTTCAGTTTGGTTGGATCGCAAAAACATTAGATTCCAATCAAGCATTACTCAAATTTAAATTAGATTTGATTGTGTATTTATAAGTTTAGTTCCAACACTGGTAATCTTTATCAAAGTCTTTGCATATTCCTTGTTGGGTTTGCATTAATCCGTCTAAGTAAAACCTCTACTAAAACCTGTCAACACATTTCAAATAGAAATACTTTGGGGATTATTAACTTGAAATTTAAACCTTGATTTTCATAAAAGATTCTTGATTTAGCCGATATGTGCGATTTGTAAATAAGTGGATGCTTCTAAAGTTTATGTTGTAAAAAATATTATTTGAATCTAATTTAAAGACAAAAATGTAATAAAATCATTGAAATGAAAATGGATTTTATTTAACATTAAAATTTATAATTAATTCAATAATTATATTAAACTTAATCTCTAAATTAAGTCTATATAACATTGAAAGTTAGTCAAAAATAATTTTAGTCAACTATGTAATACAACTAGGAAAGAATGGCATATATAGATCCAAGGATTCATTGGCATCCAAGTCTCCAAAGATGTCTATTTATCAGTATGAAGTCTAGAAGCTCATATAGCCCCATGACCCATCCATATGTTTCTGCCGTTTATAGACCGGTTTCCTTGGAGGGCTCTCCAGTGCAACAATATTGACGCAAATTTCTCCACCCTACCCTCGGCGTTACTCTCAGGGGTCTAATTATAATATCAAAAATTATTTTTGTTTAATATATTATATTTTTTACTAATAAAAATAAAATATGTATAACTTTTAATATTTTAATTTATTAATAAGTAAAAATTGAGATCTACAATTAACAAGCAATTGTGATAAGGTACAATCACAGTTTTAAAATGAGATTCACTTCATTACATATTTTTTAGTTTATTTTTTTAATAAATTGTAAATCCAAGTGAGATTCATTTTTATAATAAGAACATGAACAATAAATGATACATTATTTACCTAGAAAATATATCTATATATCTTATCTATATAATAAAGTAACTTACAATTCAAATTGTAAAAGATAAATAAAATAATTTTTTTTTCGCTGCTCAGATCACTCTGTAAAGTTAATCTAATAGCTAAATTAACACCCTAAATTTAATAGGAAAAATAGAGTCTTAAATGTATGTTTGAAGTGACTTTTTAAAAGTACGTTTAAGAATTATTTTTCATAAATACTTTAAAAAAAAAATATTTGAAACCGCCTCACCACTACCTCTACCACCACTGTCGCTGCCACCACCACCACCTCTGCCACCACAATCACCACTGCCACCGCCGACACCGTCGCCACCACCGCTACCGTCGTTACCGTCGCTGCCAACGTCGTCGCCGCTATCACCACCACCACCACGATCATTGCCACCTATCACAATCATCACCGTTTTCTACCATTACCACTGTCGTCCACTAC